TATATATATATATATATATATATATATACATACAATGATACATACATACATACATACATACATATATATATACATATATATATATATATATATCTTTTCTTTGTGGGCCATGCAAGACGTCTGTAAGTGGTATAAGCAACGCCTGCCTTGCTGCATGTTACACCTAATATAATGCCTCTTCTCTCGCTTCCATTTAATTGCCGGCATGCAACGGGTTTCCTGCCATTGAAATCCATGCAGATTAAATTAAGCCGGTATTGTAACGAACAAATTGCCATGTATTATTCAATTTGCTGCTTGTTATATTTTATTGGCGATGCGGGGTGAAATGTTCGTGTCTAATCAAAGCGATACGTTTTAAATTTTAGTTAAGAAAGGATTTGCTGACGCGACTCGTTGTATCGTATACCTATATAACTGTGGGTTCAGACTTCAGCGTAACAGCGGGTGAGCAAGTCGATTCTAGGCAAAGAAGTCGGCTATGGCAACGATGTTGTTCGTGATGAAATATGAGATTCAAAAGCCCCTCCACACTTTTCAGCCCAATTCATTATTTACGACCATGACTTCTTGATGCACGAAACTATAACCGCATGGAGAGGGGAGGGGACTATAGTACGGTGAGTAGGAAGAAGGTTGGACACTAGTGAAAGGATGTTATGGTTAGCCTAGGGATAGGTGGATATCAGTAGAAGTGCGTTTTGGGGGAAGGGTAGGTGGGGGCTAGTGAAGTTTGTTGTGGTTAGAGGGAGGGTGGGCTAGAAAAATAGCGCGTGGGTAGGGTTGGGTGGTGGCTAGGGTTTGTGGGTTGCGAGTGGAAGAGTAGTGGAAGCTGGTGGAAGTGGATTATGGCTAGCCTAGGTGTAGGCGGGGTCAAAATCCGCTTCAAAAAGACCGTCTCCTCTCGCCACGCACAGGGCGTATACTGGACCACAAATGCACGCTAATGAATGACGTCATTACAAAAAAAACCTTCCATTTATTTGTCTATAGCCAACGGATTCTACTTACTGAAGGTCAGCTAGGTATAGCTTATAGGTAGGTACATAAACCTTGCGTACGCGTGCTGACATTGTCGAAGGTCGCGTGATATATTTCCATTAGCTCGCGGCGTGGCAATTCACGCGTGCATGGCCGCCTGTCAGTCGAACGAGCAGTGTCACTATTGTTTCAGATCCGTGAGCATGGCTTGTGGTGTATGATGGCCAACGCTGGGGCGGGCTTGAAATTCACCTTGGTGATTTAGGTTTAGGCCGTTGTTCTCCGCGAAATAATGCGCAGAAGAGCAAAGCGAACGAAAGCGTGCCTGCCAACAACGATGCGCGCGTGTGCGCGAGGGCATATTAGTGGATACGCGCGTGCGTGTGTGTGTGGGTGCGTGTATGCGGGGTACACACACACGCATATGCACACGCGCGCGCGCACGCACGCACGCACACACACGCACGCACGCACACACACACACAAGCACGCACGCACACACACGCACACGCACACGCACACACACACGCACACACACACACACAACACACACACACACACACACACACACACACACACACACACACACACACACACACACACACACACACACACACACACACACACGACACACACACACGACACACACACACACACACACG